ACCTCATCCAGGTCACCAGTATGTTGGACGCGATGATCAAGGATGTTTGTGGAGATGTCTGTCAAGGGGGTCTTCTCTGACCGGGTGAACATATCTGTCATTTTCGTCTGCTTGAATTTGTCATCCTTCTGATTGATACGCCTCTGCAGCCAGTCCGGATGTGCCACTCTGGGCACAGGGTTTCGAATCTTTTGTAGGGCAGCTGGGATGGTGATGAGCTTCTGCACCACGGAGCCCAGGCGCTCGAGATAGTAATCCCAGTCAATGACCGTTCGAGGATCCATATCACCAGGGTCATCTTTCAGCCACTTTCGTAAGAAGAAGCGTTTGACACTTTCCTCGGCCGAGAAAATGGCTACAGGAATGGCTCGCTCAGTAACAGGAGTGTTCCTTGGCCTCGAAGAAATGATATACTTGCAGTTCAAGCCCTTATCTTTGACCATTTGTTCTCCCAAGAATTCTGCGAGGCGTCGAGCGGTTGTGATAGATGTCGACTTCTGGTTCCCATATTCCTCGAGCGTCTTGGTCATGCTTCTGTTCTCAGAAATGAGGTCAATCAGTTCCTCATCGGCCAGAGTCGCACCATGCTCGTACAGCACGTCTAACCACCGATCAGCCACTTTAGCTACTGCGGCGTAAGTCTCGGTAAGCGTAGACCCTTCTAAGAAGAAGCGGAAAATCTGGGTCTGGAAAATCTTGATGAGCTTCAGCTCTCCTCGACGCTTGACCTCAAAACCCTTCAGTTCCGCCAGAGACCCGTCATGATTGAAAACAGCATAACGTTTCTTCAAGTTCTTATCTTCCTCCTTGGAAGTGGGTAGAATCATCGCCTTGTAAGGCCCATCAACCTCGAAGAAGATAGAGTTGTCACTGTGGGTCTCATATCTGAATGAAGCTGGATCGACAAGAGTCTGATACTGGTGGTTGGTGTAGCTTCCGTGCACAAGGTGGTTGAGCATAACACAGGGATAGGAGATACCGAGCTTTTTGCCGTTCTTTAGAGTGAAGGTGAAGTTCTCGGGAAACGAACCAGGAAGCATACACCAGATACCGTCAGTATCGAGCTCAAGAGGGCGACCGATACGTTCAACCAGCTCTCGTGCCATCTGAATAATGCGAGCTCCGGTCAAACATGTCACGCCAGCCATTTCCATGGAATACCATCGAGAACCCTTTCTCATCACATAACCGTAGAAACTGTTTAGAATGACTTTGTGGGCAAGCTGCAGGGAATCATACAAGATAATCATCTTCTTCGCCTCATCAATTTCTGCAGCCGATGCACCAGACGATTTCAGGGCCTCAGTCTTGCCTTTCCAGACCTTCTGCTTCCCCTTGAAGTCATATCTTCGATCACGAAAACTGCGAACAGTGTCGACATAGAACGGATTCTCCCGCTGACAAATGATAGCCTCTCTGACTATCGTTTTGCTATCGTGGATCTTGTGGTAGATCTTTTTACTGTAATCCTGCAGTCTCTTTTTGACGATACCGGCTTGCTCTTCAATACTCAAGTCACCAAACATCCTCATTGGGCTATTTTTATACCTTCCGGGGAACTTCTCGTTCGAAACTGCATGGCGAATCATGTTGTACTCGTCGCGTTTTGCAGGAAGAAATTCACCTCTCCAAGCCCATGGCATTCGCCTATCGCAGGTCTTGCCGGGCCGGTTGAAATCACAAGCGGCGCAGTTGGACTCTTCAATCATGGAGTCTGGTTGCAGCCGGTTCGTGATCATGATGTTCGGATACATGGAAGCGACATCCAAATGGTAAATGAAAGGAACCTCATCCCTATGCGGCTTCTCTTTGAGGCCCATCAACTTGTCAGAAATCTGTTTCTTGACCTCGTCGTAATTGGTGACATCATCCATTGACTTCTTCTCTTCGACCTCAATGCTGAATTTCAGAGCCGCATCAAGATCACGGAGAAGTTCATCCACAGCAGCCGGGTCTACCTTGAAGGTGACTGGTATGTCGCTTCGGAAAACACCAGCCTCAATACTTTCGACGTGCCCTCCAACATAAGTCTCCGACTCGAGCAGATGGCCTTCATAGAAAGCTTCTGGGGGATCTTTATGCTTGTTGGGTAGGACGATATTGCCCTGGTATGCTTGCACCATCAGAAGCATTTCGCAAAGCGTTCCAGTTCCCTTCCTCAGAGTGTCGTCTGGATTCAAAGGTAGAATTGTGCAAAGGGAGAAGATGAAAGGGTGAACATATTTCATATACAAGTAGTATGTTGCCACGGCATCGGACACGGAGTACTCCGCCAAAGTCTGGGGACGCTCACTGGCGTACGGAGTCATCAGCTCTGGATCGAGCTCGTCAGGATCGTATCCAAGCTTCGCGACAGTGACGGCTTTCAAGCCACGACTTCCTTGAGGAAGATAACTGTCACGATTGACCCAAGCGAAGCAATCCATGTGCACACAGTGGTCGGCCTGGTAGATATCCTCGCTGTTCTTCCGGAAGCCAATCTCTTTGTACATATCGATGCCCAACACGCTAGCTCGTGCCTCAACGAAGGGCCAGTCGAAGAAGTCACCGTTGTATGTGGCAATGACCGTCGGCTTCGCCTCTTTGATATGCTCAAAAAACCGTTCGATGACGCTCCGTTCGTCTGGCTCATTGAAGATCATGAAGGGCCCGTTGTACTCGGCTTTTGGCGTGTATTCGAAGTCGTTGATGTCCTCAGACACAATTTCTCGATTTGTGATAAGGAAGCCTTGGCCATCAATCATATAAGATATCATCATGATCTGATCAATCACGGAATCCGGGAATTTGAGAGGTAATTTAGTCGTTTCGATATCGAACGCGAGAATGACAGGATCGGCACGAGTGAGTCGCTCTTCTATACAGCTCAGTGAGATAACTCCGTGTTTCGACTCGACTGTGTACCATTTTCCTATGCGAATGTCTACGAAACAATTAGCCGAGCGACCTTGAAGGAGCAGAAGCGACCTACCTTTATCAATAGAAACTCGGACATGGTAAGGGACATCATATTCCCTAATATCAACAATAAAGTCGCTCGCGTTCATATTGGCATTAGATCGTGACTCGTTAATTAGTTCATCATCAAAGAGGTCAAAGCCAGCGTTGCCGCTTCAATAACTCAGTCAGTTTCAATGGCCATAGAATCCATGGGTTCCAGACTATACCTTGACATCTCCACATAAGCATCCATCGCTGTCGCATTCTTCTTGTTCTTTTCCGCCAGAGGCAAGATGGTCCTTCGTACTTCCAGCAAGTGGCTGACATTGGCGAAGCTTAGTTGAAGATAGTTCCGGCGATGCCCAAGTAAATGATTCGGCAACGAAAGGTCCTCCTTCTCCACGCGCGTCACCTTCTTGACGAGCCCTTCAAACATTCTGCGACACCATTCCTCAACCTCCGCTTCGTGGCCTTTCTTCACGGCGATCAAGAAATAGGGGTCGTATTCGACTGTCGCCTTGAAGCTGGTGCCGCCATCCTCGAGGAAGTAATAATCGACACCGGCGCGTCCACCGGGGACATTCGGATCCTGAATCGATGTGCTGTGCATGTTGATGAGCCAACCCACTCGCTTCTCACCGGCCTCGAAGCGCGGAAAGCCCAAGGACTCGTCAATGCTGTTCGCCAGCCGGATGGCCTCGAATTTCTCATCTTGAGACGTAGCTTCTGTCGATCTAAGGGACGCGAACTCGACGGTCTTCGTCCGTCTCGGGTTGAACGAAGCAGCCCCAGATCGGAACTTGTTGCCGAATTTGCTAGGTTTTCTTGAAGGCATTGCGACGACGTGCCCACCGGCCGGGCCTGAGGATCACTGCAAGATGCGGAGATGATGTCGATAGAACATGGAAAAAAGATAATAAGAGGTTGATGTTTCAATAAGGGAAAGGGTGGCACATAATTTCGCAGCCTTCGCTAGAGTGGTTATTGTTAGTAGGAGAATAATTCAAGACTGGCTGTAAAGTTGAGTATCTCGATTGCACTTGAATCGACCCGATCCACACTGTATGCTGCGGAGCCCACCAGAGTAAATTAGATTTCGACCTGCGCCATTCCAACGCGTTCGCGTTTCTACTTTACGCGTGCCATTGGCCGATCGCCTTGTCACGGGGAAACTAACCGCTTTCGTCGTGCCGCCGGGCAGGTTCTCGGATCGCGGAATCGTCCGAATGTCCGCGGCCTTATTGTTTCTCTGCGAAGAAGTTCCGCCCGCAATACCGTAAGGTGATTGCTGCTGCTGCTGCTGCAACTGAGTTCAAACAAAATCACATCATGGCAGACGATACGCGGGGCTCCACAACCATTGCTCCGGAGCAAAGGGAGCCGGAATCGCAAAATACTGCATCGGATTTCACATCTCAAAAGAAGCTGAAGCATGAGATACCTCAATCGCAAGTCGGAAAACTTTGGGACGCATTTGGAAACCCTGAAGAGCCTGTCAACATACTTCCTTCTGCTGGGATCAAGTCCGGAAAGAAGCATGCCGACATCACGGTCACCGAAGCTATGAAGTCAATGTCGTTGGAGAATGCTACGTCTTTCTACAAAGCACCCTGTGCTCGGGATTCGTTGCTCATCGGAATCGGCGCCGGGTTCGGTATAGGTGGGGTGAGGGGTGTCATTGGAGGTAAGTTGATCACACCAGCTCGCCCTAACTAGTCATTCTTTGAACACTGGCTTACTTATTGTTTCCTCATATCAGGGCTGCCCAAGATTTGGACTGCCTGTAACTGGGCCGTGGGCGCATTTGCCATTACCGCCCTCGCAACACATGAATTCTGCCAGCGACGTCGAGTACAGGAATTGGACGGCATGAAACAGGCTGTGGAGCTGATGAAGGAGCTCAAACTCAAGAAGCAGCGCGAGAAGGAGCAGAAGGAAAAGGAGGCCGCGCGCCTGGCGGAAGAAGAGAGGCAACGGAAGAGTTGGACCAACCCTTCCAACTACAAGTTCTGGTAGAGTCAATTGCACCTTGCGCGGAGTCTTGGAGTATATTTTCAGGAAATCATTGTATATTATTATATGTCATGTGGTATGCATGTCAGGTACATACATATTGTTCTATTCTGAGCTCCATCCATGTCCTCGTGTTCGCTTCGGCTATTTTAATGCCAACGCATCGAGCAGTGACCTCACAATCAGTCATCTTTCCGTGCAAGATCGTTAGGTAGAGGTGAAGCAGTAGCCTTCAAATAAACTGCTAGATTGTTTGAGAATCGCACTCAATTGCCTCCGTGGGCTTGGTTGCCTATATCATCACATGTTGAACTTGACCCTCTTCTGTATGGCACCACTTTGAATGCTTCGGATTTTATCCAAATCGGCACCATCGCGTCGCTCTCGTCGCTTTTCTCGTGCCTCTCTTGCTTCCCGGTTTTTCCATTCTGCGACTTGTTTCTGCCTCTTTTGCGACCTGGCCCATGCGATGGCCGCAGTAGGCTTAAAACCGATGCCATTTATCCCGTAGCCATCATCACTCGGGTCTGAAGGGTTGTGTCCAGTGATCTCCGAGTCATGCCATGTAAGCGGATTTTCAAGCGCATCGCCGGTGAGCGGTGGTGAGCTTCTCGCGCTGCGAATCTTAGATGTGACCGATGGGTTCTTCTTCTTGCAGGGACTCGGGGTTGACTGCCTTTTTCTAGGCGATGCGGAGATGCCAGTATTGGGGTTATCAGACTGGGGATGGCATGTGTTTTCCGTCGACTCGTCTAGATTGGGCTGATCTTCTGCGTGAGAGCCAGTTTCGGGCATTTTGCGAGGCCCAAAGATAGAGTCGTATAGAACAGGCCAGCATCCCGACGGCACCGAATGCGTGACAGCGCCCTGATCTAAACCATAAGGAGTTGGGGGAGTCGACAGACGGTCTCCACGGATGGCCAGTTCTCCTAGGCGACCGGCCACTACCGCTCGAGGACTGTACCTTCCCAAGTCTTCGGTTTCTCGAAGTCTGGCTTCCTGAAGGCTGAGGATCGAGACAGTAGATGTGGGTGACGATGGACTGTACTGGTCGGTATCCTCTGACGATGCCCTCTTGCGCTTAGGGGAGTTGAAGGGCATCGTCGTCAAACTCGAAGACATCATCGCGGGGCGAAATCTGCAAGCGGATGTGGGGGCATCACAGCGCCCGAGCGCCAGTAGTTTGGGTTGGAAGAATTACCCAGCAATTTGTAGGCTTCCGGCAAGACGTTGGTCAGCGTTTTGATGGATCAATATCAGAGACAGTAGAAGAAGCCATCATGGCGAGGAAGCTGCGGGCAATTTGTTGTCATGATAGGAAGAAAGGGGGAGGGGGGGCTAGAGTACAACAGGGTTGGATTATCCTTGGAGGTGAGGTGAAGTGAGGGGGTTTGGCGCTGCTTGGTTGGCCTGGATTATACCAGGCGGTCCCTCCGACAGACAATGAATAAGCAATGTCTGACGGAGCAAACGTCAACGTGCAGCTAGTCTAGCAGTCAATCAATCAATCAATCATGGATGCCTGTTCAAACAACAAAGCACTTGATTTGTGTGGCGTGAAGGAGCAAGGAAAGTATATGAAAATCCCGATTTAGATTTGCAGAACTACAAGGAAATTTTAGAACGACACAGGCCTCAATCGAATAATTTACAAATACCCAGCCCGTCACGTCGTGAAGGAGAAAACAGAACATAGATGGCAAGAATAAATCAACCCGACAACGCCTCGACAATAATGACGCCCTCCTGTCCCAAGACTTGGTGGTGCTGGTGCTTCTAGACCTTCTTCTTCTTTTTGGACGGCTCAGCATCGCTGTCGTGCTTCCGCTTCTTCTTCTCTGACTCGCCCTCGCCAACGTCTGACTTGCGCTTCTTCTTCTTGTCCTCCTTCTCACCCTTCTCCTTCTTCTCCTTCTTCTCCTTCTTGTCCTTCTTCTCCTTCTTCTCCTTCTTGGCCTTCTTGTCTTCCTTGTCGGACTCAGCATCCTTCATCTCATCGTCGCTCTGCTCAGCGTCGATGTCCATATCAGCAAGGAGAGCATCCATGGCGTTTTTCTGCACGTTATGTCAGTATATGGCTAAAATTGGATGGAAGTAGCAACGTCTATATACGTACCATGGCAACTTCGTTCTTGGTAGGTGCGGCGCCAGTAGCGTAGAACTCCAGGCGCTCCTCAACCTGGGCCTTCAGGGCCTCTCCAAACTTGGTGTTGGGCTCCTCGGAGAAATTGTCGATTCTGGAGGCGATGGAGCACTTGTTGGCAAGGAAGCGCGAGATGCGACCTTTGTTCTTGGGACCGGCCCGGCCAATGAAGGACGAGTGGTACAGGAGACCGTACTTGGGGGTGTTACCCTTGGTCTTCAAGGCTCTGAAGAGAGCCTTCTCGGCACCGAGAATCTGCACAGTAGAGGCGGGGTACTTGGAGAGGTTGGTCAAGCTTCCGGCGTGGGAGATGAGGCGAGCACCGACGATCTCGCCAATCAGAGCAGCAAGGTTAGGAGCAACAACGCTCATCTTAGAAACCAAGTAGGCGTGGAGAGACTTGCGATACTTCGACAGGCTGACAACACGCTGAGCGAAAGAGATCACGTTCTCCATATCAGTCTCAGAGATCTCCTGACCCATACTGTGCTTAGCAGCATCGATGACGCTCTGGGCAACACCCTCATCATCCTCGACGAGGGCGGCAAGATCGTGCAGCTTGTCATCAGTCAGATCCTTCTTATCCTTGACGAACAAGGCAACCTGAGCGTAGCGCTGGTTGTCCGAGACAATCTTGATAAGTTCAGGGAAGTGCCAAGAGTACCACTCGCGCACTCTCATCGAGAAAGTGTTGATGGCCTTGTCGAGTTGGTCGAGAATAGCAATGGCCTGGATGATGTGGTTGTCGTCGCGCTGAACGGAAAACTTAACCTTGGCACGGGAGTAGGCGTGACCGAGACCAAGCTGGGCAGTGTCGATATCACCCTCACGGAGTTGCTTGAGCAGCTTAGTGGCGTGCAGTCTAATTCCACGAAGCATATCCTGAACAACCTCGCTGGTCTCGCCGGTTTCGCAGTCGACGAAGTCGAAGGCCGACTTAATGCTTCCAGCAAGAGCCTTGTCCAACAGACCCAGAACGACCTTCTTCTTCTTGTTGGGCTTGGGAAGGTTCAATTCGAGGAAAGAGACGAGCGTATCCGAGGCGACACCTTCCGAGATGTCGTTGATTTCACTGAGGGCCTGCTTGTTGTTCCTGGACTTGGTCAGTATTCTGGCGGGAAAAAAAGGCAAAAAATCCCCCTCAAAGCCCGATTGACGTACTCAAAAGGCAGGAAACTGGCCAGCTCAACCATCTTTCCGAACTTAGCAAGGTCATCAACGCCTTCCTGAACCTCCTTCAAACGGTTGCCGACACTGTCACCCTGGTGGGCGACCTTGAAGAGAGAGTAGCCGATAGGGCCCTCCCAGAGAAGATAGTCGGCCATAGCGAAATTGAGATCAAGGCCCAAAAAAATGTAAGAAAAGGTCCTTCACGTGCGAGCGACTGAGCCCGCTTCTCAATTTCCCAGGAATTTGCGACCGTAGACCGGGGCGTGGAGCGACGTGGAGTTGAAGAAAAGCCTAGGAGGGTAGATTTGCAGAGTCGAGCCGTCGGAGCTCTTTTTTTTCGCAGCGGCGCTAGTGCGAACACAGAATGTGGGCTTTTTGCCAAAACCAAAGGCTCACCGCATTCACGGCAAACACCACCGCTAAGGTTTCTGGCAGTGCGGGCATCCTCTATCGGGCCTATAGCAACAGCAAGCTGGTTTAATCTCAAGTCCTTTCGTTGGGTCCTTGTTGCTTGTCATTCAATACCTCTGCAGAAATGTCTGCGACGCAATTACTCAACCCCAAGGCCGAGTCGAGGGTATGAAATCCATTCCCCTCCCCCTCCTCACAATAGCCCCTCGGTGGCCTAGCAGAGACTAACGGCTCACAGCGGAGAGCGGAGGCTTTGAAAGTGAACATTAGCGCTGGTGAGGGTCTCCAGGATGTCTTGAAGTCTAATCTTGGTCCCTCTGGAACGTTGAAGATGTATGTTTGGTGTCCCTGATAATTTCCCAACTTCTTAATAGGCTAACAAATCATAGGTTGGTGGACGGTGCAGGCGGAGTATGATTTATTTCCTCTCAACCGGTCGAGCGAAGGTCTAACAACAGAGTCTCAATCAGATCAAATTAACTAAAGATGGCAACGTTCTTCTTCGTGAGATGGTAAGTCTATCTTGGTCAGCGCTTTCTTCCATCGACTAGAGACTAATTTCAATAGCAAATTCAAAACCCCACGGCTGTAAGCTACCTTTCCGGTCATATATCGAAAGCCCCTTTCTAAATGTCTCGAAGGTTATGATCGCTCGTGCTGCGACAGCTCAGGATGATATTACTGGCGACGGAACGACGTCCGTTGTCCTGTCGGTTGGAGAGCTCTTGAAGCAGGCAGATCGTTACATCTCCGAGGGTCTGCACCCTAGAGTCATCACGGATGGTTATGAGATTGCAAAGAACGAGACTCTCAAGGTATGCTATCTTAGAGAAATTTCTACACTTTCGGCATACTGAAGTATGATGGCATATAGTTCCTCGATCAGTTCAAGATCGAGCGAGCCATCGACCGAGAACTCCTACTGTCCGTCGCCCGGACGTCCCTCAGCACAAAACTGAACAGCGCCCTCGCTGAGAAGCTCACCCCCGATATTGTCGATGCCGTCCTCGCTATCCACAGAGCTCCTGAGAAGCCCGATTTGCACATGGTTGAGATTATGACGATGCAACACCGCACCTCTTCCGATACCAAGCTCATCCGTGGTCTCGCTCTTGACCACGGCGCCAGACATCCCGATATGCCTAAGCGTGTGGAGAATGCTTTCATCTTGACACTGAACGTCAGCTTGGAGTACGAGAAATCTGAAATCAACTCCGGTTTCTACTACTCTTCTGCTGAGCAAAGAGACAAGTTGGTGGAGAGTGAGCGCAAGTTTGTGGATGCCAAGCTGCAGAAAATTGTGGAGCTCAAGAAGCTTGTTTGCGGCAACGATCCTAAGAAGAGCTTCGTTGTGATCAACCAGAAGGGAATCGACCCCCTGAGTTTGGATGTCCTTGTCAAGAACGGAATCTTGGCTCTCCGGAGAGCTAAGCGCAGAAACATGGAGCGTCTCCAGCTTATTTGCGGTGGTGTCGCACAGAACAGCGTGGAGGATATGACCCCCGATGTTCTCGGCTGGGCTGGTCTTGTCTATGAGCACCAGCTTGGTGAGGAGAAGTACACTTTCGTCGAGGAAGTCAAGGATCCTAAGTCCGTGACTATCCTCATCAAGGGCCCCAACCAGCACACCATTGCGCAAGTGAAGGACGCTGTTCGTGACGGTCTGCGCTCCGTTTACAACACCATCGTCGATGGTTGTGTCGTTCCCGGTGCCGGTGCGTTCCAAGTGGCCTGCGCCGGCCACCTGTCGTCCGACGCCTTCAAGAAGACTGTTAAGGGTAAGGCCAAATGGGGTGTTCAGGCTTTCGCCGATGCACTTTTGATCATTCCCAAGACTCTTGCAGCCAACTCGGGCCACGATATCCAGGACTCTCTGGCGATGCTTCAAGACGAGCTCGCCAACGGCAACAACGCCGGTCTGGACTTGACCACCGGCGAGCCGATGGATCCTGTGCAAGAGGGTGTTTTTGACTCTTTCCGTGTGTTGCGCAATTGCATTGCCTCCAGCACGGGCATTGCCTCGAACCTTCTACTTTGCGATGAGTTGCTCAAGGCCCGTCAAATGAGCAGACAGTCAGGACCTGGTGGTATGGACGAGTAATGTGGCTTCTACAGACAAGGTATATCATGTAAAGCACTTCTGTGAATTTCTTCATCGGTTTGCAGGTTAGAAAAATACTCTACGTCGAAAGTAGGCTCAAAATTGGCCATACTAATGCATCTTTGGCACATCCTAATTAAATCGAATATAATCCACAGAGCTCGCACTCCGCCAGAAATTAGTACCGGTTTACTGGCCTAAGCTACCATAATTCGGTTCGATATGTGCTCATGGAGGTTTTCTGATCTGTCCTCGGCCGCGGCGTTGTTCTCAGGACCTTCGCAAGGTCTAGGATTCATATACACGCCAGTCTTGCTCTGCGGAGTTATTGAATCGGGATCCAATCGTACATGGCGTTTCCATACGGTCAGTAGCGTATGTAGATAGTAGTAATACAAAGGGCGCTGTTCCACAGACGCGCATACAGAAAGGAGCATAGCTGCAAGAGAGACTATCCATCGCCGCTTTCATTACTGTCCCCATTGCTCTCTTCGTCCGAGTCGGTCGGAGCCCATTTACCATGAAACCCCTC